TTATTCAATGATGAAATTGTCAAGATGTTAAAAATTATTTAAACAGGCATAGATACCTGGTTTTTTGCAGAGCCAAGAGTATGATATTTTATAGGATCATGATTCTAATAAAATTATTATTTTTAAAGAAAATATGAAAATGTTATAAGTATTTTATACAGATAAGTCAGTGCGTTCTGAGCGCCAACGTGAGTTAAGGTCAAGACTTGAGCTTCCCAAGTTGCCTAATTACCTTGAATGGGCCAATAATAAAAAAGATGAGACTATGATATCAACGACCACGAATGCATCGCACGAACGGTAGAAGCCATTAGACCTGTTAAGAAAAATCAAACTACTTTGGGAATTGACTTCCACCAAAGTCCAGAGTGGTTTGATTGCTAGGGGATCAACCGGTAATCTCATGCGCACCAATAAAAAGGCACGGGAAAGTTATATTTTATAAATGCACCGCTCTCACAAAGTATGGTTAAATATTTAAAAAGTTTCGAGGCCATGAATAGTGACATTCAATGGAATTGAAGGATTAAATTTGGTCCAAGTATATGTAAATGAGGCAAAATCTTCCAAGATAGCAGCTCAGGTAAGAGTAAAAATATCATGGGACCTATTCACACGCTACTATCAAATCTTATATCAGACTAAGCAATCTAGATTGAATTATACGAGTAAAGTAAACAGAATCTAACAGGGCTCAGTAAGGATTATGCTTCGGCATCATTCCTAATTTAGATCTTAAGTCAATCTTCATGGTCTCCTGAATTAGTTGCATTTAAATTTTTAGTTACTAAACGTTTTATGCTCAAATAACCTTATGTATGGATAGACAAACCCTTTCTATATGAAAAATACCACATAAAAAGAAAAATGTCGTGGTAAATTAATCTAGACAAGGGGCCTAAATAGGTTCGAAAAAAAGTAATAACCAGATAATATTAGTCTCACTTTATACTCAAGGGATCTTTAAAAACCTAGTTTAAAAATACTATCTAATTATGCCTTCTGGCTATTAATTTGATTCTGCAAGAGCAAATAGAACAAAAATAGGCACTTTCGCTGATATATCTTTGTAAGTATGACCAGGTTGCGAAAACAGGATACTAAAACTTCACATAATGGAGGGAGAATAAGACTAAGCAAAAAGCCACAACATTCCCTTTGTCATAGTATATACAGTATGTCAAATGATAATAAATAATGCGATATTCAAGTGATTAAATTAGTTAGTGTAAGTAATATGAGCTATTTTATGGATAAAACACTGTGAAGAATTAGTAAAACTATTGGCGCGCTTCTTGCAATGACGGCGTTATGTACTTTTCCCATTTGATTGATGTACCCAACCTAGGACAAGGTCAATGTGGGAAACAATAAAAGTTGAAAAAGTAAAGCATATCTGCCCTTTGATAAGCACCATACCGATATTTGCTTGTAAAGCATACATTGAAAAATATTTGTTCAAATTATCAAATGAGTGGATCAGATAGCCAACTTTCAATCCAAAAAGTTACAAACGAGCTAAAATATTGAGAAAAATGTGTTTGAGTTTGGCTTAGTTAAAATAATACATGCAAAAGCTATTTTTTATGCTGGACTGTACAAGGTTAAAAATAAGGGACCAAAAAGAAGACGGATAAAAAGATTGAGCAAAATAGATTAGGACAAAAATTTAAGAGCAAAAAAGACATCTAAACAGCAAAGGAAAAGCAAAAATATTAAAGTAAATAATGCAGCAAATTTGGAAAAGAAACTAAAAATAAATATATAGATAAAGAGAAAAACAAGAATAAATTTTATAACCCGAAGCATTTAGTAGGGAGCAAAATACAAACCTTCTTGAGATTCTTGTGGTGAGCGTTTTGAAAAAATTAAAACCGCGGCCACCAGTTCCTGCTCCGCCAGCGCTACTGTTAATTGGCCCACCCGGATAGATGGAAGTCATTCCAATGTATGAATGGGCAGGAGGCGGTGGCGTCTGTTGATGATGATGATTCCCTTGGTGCTGCATACAACTAGAAAATTCGCCTAATGGGCCCACAGAAGCAGCTTTTCTTTTGTCGTCTTCGGAGGAGTTGGTGCGAGACAGATTACCAGGTCCTAACAAGCAAGCAGAACCAGTACTAGTAATGGACGAGGCCGCAGTAGTGGCAGCAACAGGCGATATAACTGTGGTTGGAGTTCCGATAGGTAGCAACGATGTTGTCGCGCCATTGGCTGTTGCAGTAGCTGGAGAGACAGAAATCGAAGTTGATGCTGAAGATGATGAAGGGATGAGGCGACCAGATGTCGCGAAGGTGATGGCACCAGTTCCCGAAGGAAAAAATCGATGCGAAGGTGGTTGAGGACTCGGATCTAAGACAAATGAGGATGAGGCTGGTGACGACGAACATGGCTGTGCTTTGGAGTGAGGCATCGTGGTACCGCGTAAGTGTCCACGAAAGCCACTGGTGCCACCAACTAAGTCAGAGGCCGTAGGGCCAAAAGGGTAGTCGTCGATTGGACAAGGCGCTGTTAATCCATTACTGGGGCTCAAAGGAGAAGTAGAGACAGTCGGCAGGGCGGTAGGGCTGATTGCACGTGGTTTCTGCCGGTTCGATTGGAGAAGTATAAACGATATAAAAATAAAATATCGCGTCATAGAAAAGCAATTTCGAAGTAAGCAAATGAACAACTTTTGAGAGAACCTTTGATAATGCATATGAATGAAGATAAACTAAAAGCCAAGAATCTCAACGGTAAATAAAAGGCCAGAGCCAAGGTATGGTTTCCTAAAACATAAATTCTGGGTCTGTCTGAGTTTGTAAGCTAAAAGAAAAGCACCTGCAAACATTACAATCTATGTAGAGTAAAATTATAAACTTAATATAACAACAAACCTCCAAACGCATTTAGCTATTAGTTAAAATTATTATCGGAAGGATAGAAACTAATAAAAATAAATCATCAGAAAGCCTCTAAGGGAACACTTTCACCTAGCGTACCTGATGAATGAGAAAAGTTCGATATTCGATTGTTACATTAATTTTGCGCACCTGAAATTGAGCTTTGACATACATGGGTTAATGCGAATGAAAATGTAACAGACTTAATCAGATCTCGCAAGCTCATCATTCTATTCTATATTCACACAGTCAAAGCGCTCATTTCCTCCTCTCCCTCGATTTACCCACTATCAAGAAGTACTTTAAGCCATAATGACTATCATACCGGCGTTAGCCACGAAGAAGAACTTCCTGTGCCACCAATCGTCGTTCCCGACCGGCCTGGTGGCCAGTCTCTCATGCCATTAGGCTCACACACTCCTCCTGATGGAATGTTGTCGCCCGTCTGAGATTGTTGGTGCTGAAACGGTGACTGTTGATGTTGATTTTGGTAATGATGGTACGGAGACGGTGTAGGAGTGGACGTCAACGAAGTCAATGATTCCATTAGTACCTGAGACTGGCCCAACTCCGCATTTGCTGATTGGTTTGAAAAGTATATCGACGCATGCTGCTGTTGCTGCTGCTGCCGGTGTTCATGGGATTGTTGTGAGGAAACAGCCCCACTTGCGGGCACACCGGCTGTTGATCCACTCAGATAAGCTGAAGAGGAAGATCCGGTGGTAGCTTGCTGATTAATGGCCGAGGCACCTGGATGGCGGACTAGGCGCCCGCCCGTCATCATAACCTGAAACGAGCCACCGCCAACTCCATTTCCACCCCTGTTTCCAGTAACAGAACATGATCCGCCCGTGAAAGGGCCCGAAGCACTTGGCATAGGGTGACGACCAGAGTTGCCACCTCCAGTTCCGCTGGAGGAGATAGGCACATGCTGCAGAGTGCTACGTTCTGGCAATTGACGAGTGAACGGCACAGAATACCCAATGCTGCTAGTGCTGCCTATGGGACCATTGTTAATGATGCTGGGAGGGCCAATGCTTGTAATGGCGGCAGTAGCCGTAGAGCCAGTCGTGTGATAGGCATTGTAGGCGTTGTATGCCGAGCTGCCAGAACCACTTGCACCCGCCCCAGTCCCAATGGTGGCGCCACTGAGACGACCAGAAGGCGTAGTGGAGAAGACGCCTGAATCAGTGGAACTCATTGGAAGTCTAGTAAAGGCAGAGTGATTCAAGATAAAATGACAAGGAAGCAAATAAGAAATGTAAGAGCGAAAAGCTTGGGGGAAATTATTACATCTAGCTCAGCATAAGGGTGCCGAAGATTGTGCACTAGAACCCTTTCGAGCAAATATAAAGCAATATTTTCGTATTAGAGCTCAGGTAGAATAGCGCC